GACATATACAATAATGTCAAAGGTACTACACAGAGATATTTTTTTAATAAAACAAAAGATTTTCTTGTACCCATTCTTATTTTTTACCCTAATTCTGAGAATTCCACATGCTGTTACAAAACAAATTGAATCTAAAGCAAAATAATGAAGAAACAAGAATTGGGAGATAAAAAGCATATAGAGATGGGAATTGTTCTTGTTAAAAACTCCCTATTCTCTTTGATTTTATTTCTGTTTTCAACATATAAAAATTTCATCAGCAAAACAGATCTCCCTATATATGATCAAACACTAATCTAGACTTGGATTCAAAGGGGAAACATTTAAAATCAAAGCAAAACCAAATCCATGTGTATTATGGGATCGAAAGTAGTGAGGTGATATCAAGAACTACAATTGATGCGCAAGTTCTACGACTGCTAGCGGTCGACAGAGAATTGAGCAAATTCAGGTTAAAGCTGATGTTGTCAAACTCACATCACAGAACAGCTTGAGGTGTTTTCATCACTGAACATTGAGTATTGGTCTGGTTGTTCGCCTGGATGGCGGGGGTACGGATAAGGAGGGTAAGGTGGCATGTAACTGACCGCAGGTGGAGGCCGGGCATACATCATTGGTTGAAACCTTTCATTTCCATTTCCATGTTGTTGGTTCATCATCATTGCCGCCAATTGTTGCTGGTAATACGGGTTTCCAGCCATGTGCTCGATGCTGGGACCTTGAAAACCACCACGACCATTCATAGCATTAGTAGGAAGCCCTTGGACAGTTGCAAAATTACCCATTTGGCCGCCCATAGGTGGATTACCCATTTGGCCGCCCATTGGTGGATTACCCATCGGTCGCATTTGGCCCACAGGTAGATTCCCCATCTGGCCCATACTACCACCGGGATTCATAGAATTCATAGCCATCATATTTGGCATACCATGGAAACCATCAGTCACTCCACCACCTTTCTTCGCCCCGTTAGCCCCACTCCCACTCCCACCACCATTGCCATTGTTGCTGTTTATGTTCTGACCACCATTGCCACCACCGTTTTTGCCATTTTGTGGTTGAGCAACACCATTCTTGCCACCCTTTCCACAACATTGATTCTGGTTACCACTGTTATTGTTCCCATTACCTCCTTTCTTGCCAAAATTTGCACCACAATTTCCATTATTATTTCCACCAACATTCACTTGCATAGGCATGTTCCCAGCGCCACCACCCTTTTTGCCTTTTCCACCAGCATTTCCTTCATTAGCTCCACCTTTCATAAACTGGGGGTGTTGCCCATTCATCATACTATTCATCATCATGATGCCATTTCCACCAGCATTTCCTCCGTTATTACCTCCATTAGTACCACCTTTCATGAACTGAGGATGCTGCCCATTCATCATATTATTCATCATCATCTTAGGCATCTGACCGCCCCCATGGCCATTACCCATTGCAGTTTTCATCTTACTCAACGGTACGTCATCCATTTCATCATCATAATCAAACTCATCATCATCCGAATCGTCAAACTCATCATCATCAGAATCGTCAATCTCAGGCACAGACTTCTGGTTCTGGT